AAACGCACTGTTAAGACAGCAGGTAAAAGTTGGTCTGTGTTCTGTCGGAGCTGCCTGCGACGCGCTGATGAGATCCAAAAAGATCGAATCGCGATCCGCGTCTGGCAGTTTCGACAGAATACAGACCACTTCGAATTATTTTAAAAAGTTTATTATTGTTTATTTCATTTAAAACCAGGAACGAAAGATATTTTCAAATTTAACCAGTCATGTTTACGTTTTCGTTTCTTATGTTGATCTAAATTACGTTATACGATATAATATAATCGTTTCTTTCACTGCCGCTCTTAGACTAGAGTTGCAAAAACATTAAGCATGAAAAGGGCATCGCATTAGCCCCATTTCATTTCGGTAAGGGGCGCCGGAAGATATAAACAACGTAATAATCTACGATTACATATTACCTAATGACCGCCAAACTTGGCAGTTACAACGACACTAATTGAATGTGATTGATGCGATCTGTTCTGCAAATATGTATCTTGGCGCGCATCAATCGTCATGATTGATTCCGAATATATCATCATAATAGAAATTCGCGACCGCAGTTTGTCTTCTTTCGCCTCCCCGATCTCATAAATTATGGATTAACCTCTTAAATCGGGGCCGATTCGGTTTAGCTGTGTGTCAACAATTGTCAGTCTAATACATTAATGTAATATTCATGTCATTCTTTATTTAAATTGAGTTTTCTTTTGACAGTCATGTATTTAGGTTGAAACAAGAATATGTAGAAATTGCCCTGGTTAGCACTTCGCAAATCATATAAAAACGCACCTCGACTCTTTCCTATCCTGAGCTAATCTTCGCATTTCCTTATATCTAGAACATCCCACATCCTTGACTATTTGTGAACAATAATCTAATCTAGCTCTACCTCTTCTCCTCTTAGCTCCTGCTTCTGCTTATAATTTTAAATAGTCCTCCATGCCTGAGAAGGTGTCCTGTCAACCTATCTCCCCTATTTCTTAATTGACTCTCCACCTCTGCTCTCCTATTCTTTATAATACCGTCCTCTAACTTCTAATCTGTTCCATCCACGGTATCCTCAACATTCGGCTGCAGCACCACATTTTTGAACGCTTCTATTCTGCGTCCACCGTCCATGTTTCGCACCCATACAGCGCCGTGCTGCAGACTTACTTTTAACAATCTTTTAACCTTTTGTGAGCATAGGAGTGACCACTTTTTATTGAAGGCGACTCAAGTCTGCGCTATCCTCTATTTTATATTTCTGTTGCTCCTTGCATCCTGAGTTATTTAACTTCCTAGATACCGAAAATCAGCCACTTCTTCCATTTTTTCGTCTTCTTCCTTTACATTTACTCTTTCTCTAATTTTTCTTCTCTTGCATGCCAGTATTTTTGTTTTATTTTTAAATAAATTATTATTGTGCTGAAAATATTTACTATCGAGTTACGACTGTGTGTCGCCATCTGCTGGTATTTGTTGCTAAATAAAGTACATCAAATGTTATACAAAGGTCTTAGTAAGGTACCTACTTATCCACCTTATCCAAAAAAATTTACTTTCAGTAGAATATAAATTGTCACCTTTCGGCATATCGGAAATGTTTTTAGAAGCATATTAGCCAAAACAACACAATAAGAAAGGCAAGCAAAAAGTGAAAAAGCGCCTCTAAACTTTAAGATATTTTGTGGTAGTTTCTCGTATTCTCAAGGGGAATAATATTCCAAAAGTTGATCGCATTTTCCCTGTATTCGTAAGCATATTTCAATCCTGAGGCTTAAAAGGTTTTTTCCTGTTTACTACAAACTATACCTATAGACAATAATTTCGAAGTCATTGGTCTCTTTATTGCAAGGAGAAGTAAGTTTACTCAAAGATCTAAGTAAATTATGGAATAAAAATATCTTAGGAAGATCGGTCTTATTTATAAAAACATCTAATAGCAACGTTAATTTCTACCATATGGTTATAAACCTGCAAACAATGATTTTTAGTGCATACTGCTTTCGTAAGATATAATTCACCACTTCGTAGCAGGTAGGTAAAGCATTATCATCGGCTTTTAAGTGAAAAATACTTCTTTTTTATATTCACTAAAAATGCTACGCAAAAGGTTCAATAATTTGGCTTACAGTACTATTTCTTATTGACTTCCGTAACATCATATCTTCACCTACTCTTTCCAATACCTACCCTTTTCTCATCATCATCACCATCAGGTCGTCAGTCCTAAGACTGGTTGGACACGTACCTCCACTCTTTCCTATTCTCAGCTAAACTGTTCCCTAAAACTAGAACAACCCACATCCTTAACTATTTGCGAACAGTAATCTAACCTAGGTCTACCTCTACCCCTCTTAAATTTCGTTTCTGCCTTTAATATGTCTCTGACTAGACCTTCATGCCTGAGAAGGTGTCCTACCAACCTATCTCGCCTATTTTTTATTGCCTTCCATAGAGTCCTCTGTTCTCCTATTCTTTCTAATACCTTTTCGTTAGAAATCGATCCACTTTATCCTCTTCATTCGCCTGTAACAACACATTTCGAAAGCTTCCAACCTTTTCATTTCCACCGCGCCCACTGTCCATGTTTCGCACCTTTTAGAACCTTTTTCGAATTTTTAAATTAAACTTTCGCGAGCATAGAAGTGGCGACCCTGCGCTATCCTTTGCTTTACATCCCTGCTACTCCTTCCGTCCTGACTTATCTGACTTCCTAGGTATCTAAAATCAGTCACTTCTTCTAATTTTTCGTCTCCTGTTTTTATATTCGCTCTTTCCCTTTCTTCCCTTGCATACCAGTATTTTGGTTTTTCTAACATTCGAATATTCTTTTCTACAGATATATAAAGAAAAGTGAAATTATTCGAACCAAGTTTAGTGAGCACAGAACATGATTTATTCGACAAAGTTGTGTGAATCATTTATTTAACTGGAGCGCTTTGATGCATGTATCTTTGATTAAATTTGAACATATCCGCAAAACTTTTTGAACTCGGACGTCGCCTCTATTTCAGGCTTAATCAAACTTCGCGAGCTGGTGAAATCAAGTCAAAGTTCGAAAATTGAAGTATATCTACGACAAGCTGACGTCACCTCGTACAGAAGAGTTCTTAAGGAGATTAAATCCAAGGAAATCAACAATTTTATAGTAGACACTAAACCGGAAAATCTCCAGGATTTCCTTAAAGGTGTAAGTTGTTTCATCACTGCTATACGTTATTTTACAGTACATTGCTTGGCACAACGTAACATCTCGGCGCTTTCGCTAAAGTGAATTTATATGTTATCAGTATTTTACATTATACTCACGATCCTGTTATTTTCCTTTTACAACATTCAACTTCACGAATAAACAACATTGTAAATACACTTTTAACAAGTATCGCAAGTGTATTTATCTTACAAAACCCTTAATAACAACAGATTTTATAATTAATAAGCAACTTATGTTTCAGTTTATTTAACTTGATTATATCTGTCGTAAATAAATATCAATTATCAAAATAAAATTATTAAACATTTTACACACATTGGACAATTATATCTACTAATTAATTGTTAATTATTCGCCAGTTAAACTTATTTAATCTAAAGTTACAATATGGTTTTTCATCGAATTGTTTTAATATGTTAAATATCTAACTCCTGCTGTAGAAAGAAAAGTCATAAAAATAATTATTTATGAACACCCCGTAAGTGTACCTAACATAATATTATTTTTCGTTAAAATTATCTACTAAATGGTAGCAGCAATTTAGAAAATTGGTAACCGCAACGAGTTTTTGATCGAAAACAATAAATTCTGATATAATGGGATGAGATAACAAATACTATAAAATAAATTGGGCACAAGAAAATGAAACTACCCTAATATGACGACGGAGTTCAATTTATTATAATCAGGGCGCTTGATGCTTAAAACGAACCGGTGAAAGATTTATAGGGTTATTATAAAATTTTTTATTATTTACTTTCTCAATGCCTTGTCAATGCCATATTTTCTTTTTATATAATCACAATCAAAAGATGCCGATACATTAAGAGGATTCAATAGTACACGCGCCGTAGAGCAAAACATGCTTATGGGTTCTAGATATCATGAGTTTAATATTTAGAACAGAGGTTTGAAATTTTATAGTAAGATAGATAAAGCTTTGTTCTAAAGCTTGTCGAAGGCCATTTTTTAATTTTTTTTTATTTATTGAAAATACGTGTCCTACAAGAAGCATCAACTTTAAGCACTTGTAAAAGCTTTTAATGACCATATTATTGAAAACCAAAAACGTACCGAGTTAGTGTGAACCTTTGTCTGTTACCATACAAAAAATCACATATTTATCTCGCAGCAGTAAATCACAATATTTAGAATAGAAATCAATGTTTTTTGAAAAATTCACACTAGGCACGGGCGATCTATTGCGGTCAATCCCAATGACACCTACTGCAACCACGAATAATGAATTTTTTAAGCGCGAATACAGGAACTGGGTTGCAATATAAAGAAACCATGAATAAGGAACTTTTACTGTACAATGGGAGTCTTTTTATATAAAGGGAAGACCCTATCCGATGAATTTTCCCCCAAATGGTATAGTTACTCTACTGATTATTAAGTGCCATTCCTACAACAATTACCCATTTCACTAAGTTTTTCGTCAAGTAGGCGTTCCATTTTAGCCGTTCATACATTAGACCTTGTATCGGTTAGCAAAATGACAGGTTCTCATTATCCGTCAACTTAAGTTTACATTTGTTTGCAGATTCTACAGCTACAGATGAACGACTACAAGTACCATTACCTGTTCACGACTTTCGACTTGGAAACGTTTGATCTCGAAGACTTCAAATATAATTTTGTCAACATGACCGCGTTCCGTATAATCGATACAAAGGACTTGACTGTACAAGAGATCCTACGGGACATGGCTCGCTTCCAGCCCCATCACTTAAGACCGTCTTCGCTCAACTCTTCTTTTGTCAAGGTTAGTGCCTTGATCGATACCGTAATCTATCGCGTATATTTTAAAACGGGCAATTTGTATGGCTTCTAGCTGGCAGCGCTCCACCTTATACTACAAGTACCTCTCCCGTGGGAGCCCTGTAGGTGTATATATTGTCAAAAATTGCAAGGAGCGTGCTTATTTTTCTCTCGACGTTTCCCTACTTCTTACTTCCGATCTCGTCGAAAAAATAAAAAATTGTTTAGAGCCGGAATATTATAAAATAGTAGATTAGTTCGGAAATTGACAATAAAAATAAAACAAAAAGAAGCTATAATCTTTGTTAAAATAATTTATATCAGACTTAACTTAAGTGCAGTAGCCTTAGAAGCATCAAAAAGGAAGATTACGGATTTGACAATTAGTATACTAATAATATTAACGCTTACTATTAACAGGCATTTTTTAGTACTATCAAAACCTATTAGTCATTAATCATAATTCGTGGCTGTATGAAGTACTAGCAAGCACGTTGACAATAATATCATGATTTTTACTACAGCAACTAATGTGCCTAAAAATCGCTTCTAGCTGGCATATATTTAGTGTTTCACGGTTAAACAGTAACTTTTCTGATACAAAGTGACCCTGAAAACGTCATAAAACTAATAATGACAAGATAAGGATTTAAGGGATTGTAAAACTGACAATGACAATTATAGCATTAACGCTTACTATTAACAGGCACTGTAATACTAACACATATCGCTGACAGGCATGCTGACATAATATCACGACTTGTACTGGCCCTAAGATTAATCCTTATGGTAAAAAATGACTGGCAATGATAATTATAGCATTAACGCTTACTATTAACAGGCACTGTAATACTAACACATATCGCTGACAGGTATGCTGACAACAATATCACGACTTGTACTGGCCCTAAGATTAATCCTTATGTTAATAAATGACTGGCAATGACAATTATAGCATTAACGCTTACTATTAACAGGCACTGCAATACTAACACATATCGCTGACAGATATGCTGACAATAATATCACGACTTGTACTGGTCCTAAGATTAATCCTTATGGTAAAAAATGACTGGCAATGATAATTATAGCATTAACGGTTACTCTTAACAGGCACTGCAATACTAACACATATCGCTGACAGATATGCTGACATAATATCACGACTTGTACTGGCCCTAAGATTAATCCTAATGATGATATTCTATAGCTAAAACAAATGCTATGTATATACTCGTGCTGTTTGAAAATATACAGTACAATATGAGCGCCGATTTTCACAAAACAAGGACCAAGAAAATACATTCAATCTTCAGTTGCTTATTTAATTTCACTGTGGGGAATGTGAAATAGCCAATTAAATGTACATAATAAACTGTTGCTTTCAGTTAAATCGGGACAAACGAAAGCATTCATTAATTCAGCAGTATCAAGAGATAAACTTAAATTAGCAGTCACGTTTTTGGATGTGTACAAATGACGACTGCTTACTAACTTCGTGAAACGACATTATTTCACCCACTTATTTAAATGGCCCTTGTTTCAGACAGAGGCGGCACTAATTTACGACTCCGTGTTCGTCTTTGCCGTCGGTTTACAGACGCTTGATCAATCGCACACGCTCCGGATACAGAACGCTTCGTGCGACAGGGAAGAGCCGTGGGACGGGGGACTCAGTCTCATCAACTACATCAATTCGGTAAGTTTCATTCCGATAATTGCACCTGTGTGTCCCTATAGTTAAGACGATCAAAACTGGCAAAGTCCGCAATACATTATCTATGAGAATGGACGTGCTGTTCGTTTCAAGAAGTTGGAGATATGCCCCTTCCCTTTATTGTGATGCGCCGTAGCATAATTCCAAATTCAATCATATTTGTCTGCGGAGCTCATTTCTGCACCGATCGTCGAGCGAGAACTAGACAAAAATGTACAGTACCATTTGCAAAATTATTTAAACTGTCTCGTTAAAATTTAAGAATATTCTTTATTTAAAAGCATATTTAGTCAAAAATAATAACAAGTGAATTAATTTAACGCTCTACACACCTACAAAACTTTTGCTTTGTTTTCTATTGTTAATTTATATACATTTTTGTTTTAAGAAATTGCTAAACATTTTCGTCTAGTACTGTACAGTTCTAACCGATCTCCTAAAACCGCCCATCGAGAGCTGTGCTCGTTCTAGCTTGTTCCAACTATTTCTGTCTTGCTCACGCCTAGTGTGTATTCTTTCTATCTTCGCGCAGATTTCTTCAAGGTCACAATTCTAACAAATTGAAATAAACTGTACCTTTTTTCTTGTTTCGACTTGGGACTGTAATAGTCATTTGCTATTTGTTAAGTTAGGAAATGCTTCATGAGTAGTACAGATAAGGTGAAAAGAAATAAGCGAATAATAATATTCGGTACAGAGGTTAGAGGATTCTTAGGTACGCAAAAGGGTCGGTTTAACTGCCTGGTTGGAATTATGTCAAAAACGTCTTTGCTTTCCTAAATTCCTGAGAATTATGAACTTTCTTTTTAAAGCCCGATGCTGAAAACTTGCTCAAATTCTGCTTGTCTGCATCTCTTTCTGTTACACATCAATTGGTGTAATGTTATTCCCTTTTCTTTATTAGCGTCCGCTGCAATTTTTACCTGGCATCTCTCTTCTATGTTTACGATATTCCTTATAACATGAATAAAAGTAGGCGTCATGACAGCAACCGCTCTATTCTAGCTAGTATGATGAAAGAAGAAAGTAAATGGAAGTGTTTTTCCCATTCTTGTATTACCTTCTGGCTCCTAGGAGATTTGGCCATTTAAATTATAATAGAAGCATTGTAATATTTGAATCCTTCGAGGAACCTTCATTGATGCCAGGCTCATACATAGAGACTTTATGATACTGTTTTCCTATAAGATAACAAAAAAATGAATGTGAACATTTGTTCTCCCTATCTTTCATCCCGCCATTTATTCCCAGCCGCGTATTTCCTTAACAGTGATATACACCTTTGCAATATGCATCTACCTAGCCAATAAACCCCGATAAACGAGAGCAACATTTGCCACTAGGTAAAGGGAATTGCAATGGCAATAATTCTCTTTAGAATTGTGATTAATTGGAACACAACGCTGCAGCGCAATCCGTTCTGGTACCTATCTCCCTAATCCAGTTTAAAACAAACCGGTTTAGGAGCTAAATTAAGCAAGAATGTAAATTTGCACTTGCAAATCGCGGTTTCCCTTGAGATCCTCCGGCCACCACTTTGCTAATACAATTTTATAAGGGTTGAACGCTTCAAACACTAAGGATAAGTCGTGTTCATTATTATGTTATAGTTTTTTTTAACGACGAGCAATGAAAAGTAGAACGTGCGGCCTGAACTTACGTACCGAAGATTCCTTACCTCATCATCGTCATAATAAGGTCGTCAGTCTTAAAGACTGGTTGGACACGTACCTCCACTCTTTCCTATCCTGAGCTAATCCTCGCATTTCCCTAAAAATAGAACAACCCACATCCTTAACTATTTGAGAACAGTAATCTAATCTAGGTCTACCTCTACCCCTCCTAACTCCTGCTTCTGCCTCTAAAATGTCTCTCACTAGACCTTCATTCCTGAGAAGGTGTCCTACCAACCTATCTCGCCTATTTCTTATTGACTTCCATAAAGTCCTCTGTTCTCCTATTCTTTCTAATACCTCTTCATTTCTAACCTTCTCTATCCACGGTATCCTTATCATTCGCCTACAACACCACATTTCGAACGCTTCTAACCTTTTCTATTCCGCCGCGCCCACTGTCCATGTTTCGCACCCGTACAATGCCGTGCTCCAAACATACACCTTTAACAACCTTTTTCGAATTTCTAAATTAACCGTTCGCGAGCATAGAAGTGACTTCTTTTTATCAAAAGCGACACTATCATGCGCTATCTTCTACTTTATATCCCTACTACTCCTTCCGTCCTGACTTATCTGACTTCCTAGGTACCTAAAATCAGCCACTTCTAATTTGTCGTTTCCTATCTTTATAATCGCTCTTTCCCTACCTTTTCTTCCCTTGCATACCATTCATACAGTACTGTTTTGTCAATACCGCTTCCATTTTATTTAAAGCTATCTCTCCTTGCTAGATGCTATGAAAAAATTATCCATTAAACTCTCCCAGGTACTTAAGTATAGACTGATAATTACAGGTATTCTGACGTCGCTTTAGTCTTTATTTAGCGTTTGGAAGGTAATTTAAACTATTTTTGCACACGATTATCACCAAACCTCATAAAAATTATTCCTACGATAATATGTCCAATCCATAAACATCATTCATATTTTTTCAGAAATAAGGAGTCACGTTCACTATTGAAACCAATCAAAATTAAATTTTGTTAATTAATTGACCATCTTTTGAGTTCTCACAAATTACGAACAGAAGTGGAACTTTCCACCACGATATCGACACATTTACAAATGTACATTTGTGGTTGTGAAGCGTGTAGGTCACACTAATTACAAGAGCTTAATTTCCGCAACACCCTTCATTAACGGAGATATAACGTTGCAGATATTAATAAATCTCGATATTGGATGTACCTACTCGGCTAAAATATTAACCTGCCTGTCTAAAATCACCGTGAAAGCTTACTTGTTATATCCGTTAAAACTAATTTGACTTGATTGAAACAAAAGTGGACTAGAGTTTCAAAACGGTTCCATTTTTTCGCAAATACAGAAAAGAGTTCGAAGCGTAATAGTGAAAAGAGCGAGATATGGAAAACGGCGATTTAAAACTAACCAATTTATAACAGTTTCGTTAGCATTCCCGCAATTTATTCCATTTTATAAATATAGGACCAACTACTGGAGTTGAAAACAATAGTTCCGTGATACAAAATGGTGCAATACTATTTCCTGCTTCAGCAAATGCATTCTTTTTCACAGGTTGAAATGAAAGGACTTAGCGGTCCCATCGAATTGAAGGAAAGTCAACGAGTTCAATTCACCCTTGATCTCTTGAAACTCAAGCATCATTCCGTCAAAAAGGTAGGCGAATGGAGACCGAGCACCGGTCTGAATATCACAGACAGAGCTGCATTTTTCGACACGGGAACAACAAATGTGACGCTTGTTGTTACCACAATTCTGGTAAGTTATGGAAACAGATCAAGAAAACTAAAATACTTTATGAATTAATACAGATAAATAAAATAAGTGCTTTAATGATCTTTAATAGAAATTAAGATTACAGTAGATATTCCTATAAATTGATAGATAAGTATTAAAAATCAATGCATGTTTGGACCATGTTTTGTTGTGCTCTAATTTGTAATAGAATTTATAAATATTTCTGGTATATGCATAAGCATGTAGATTTATGTAAATTTGAACTAACAAAATGCATGACCTTTTGGTTACGCATTTGAGTATTTTATTTACTAATTAAGTACCTATAAATTACATAGTGCTTATTTTATTAGTGAGGTACTATTTCATAATACTTGTGTTTTTAAATATGACAAGATAAACTAAAATTAAAACTCACCAAACGAAATCGTTTTGCCAGCGAGGGTTGATGAAACATTTGTTTGTTTGAAAAATGTACAATGATTTTTCTGATACACTTATTGTGAACAGTAATCGTAAGGAAGCAGTAGAGAACTGAAAGCCAATTTTTTAAAAGATTAATTTAGGATCGGTAATATTTTTCAGTCTTATGAAAGTAATAACGAATAATGGTTTTTGTTCTCACATTATGAGAGGTTTCTAATTATTCTTTCTCTAACTTTATTAAAACAATAAAATAAATTTATAATTTTAACTTCATTTCGAAAAAGTCATAATCATTTCAGCACAGTTTAGTTTCGATTGTCTTATTTAAAAACACTCGGTACGTACAGTGGCCCGTAAATGTTTCAGGAAAGTTACCTATTAGTCCTTTATCTGCATAATTCAATCAAGTAATTAACAAAATTAATACTCGCGAGGAAACAGCTTAGGAATAGTAATTCCTTAATGATGGATTTACGAAAGATGTACATCATGTACAGTTAGATAATAAAACATCAAAAAGTGTACAAAATCAAAAGATTATCGGATTCACACACGAAAGAATTTATCAGTTTCAATTCAAATTTATTACTTCAAAAAAAAAAACAAAAAAGAGGTTATGTATAGTTTTAATTGTTATTTAGGGTTTCCTTCGGTCACTTAAGAAAATTTTGCGACATATCTAATACTTCATTTCTATCTTCAATTTGCCCTTATCATCTGTCTCTCCCCAAGTACCACCCACTCATTCCCACGATCCTTGTAAGAAGGCCGAAAAGGAGCTTCCACCCTACTGTGCAGCTTTGCGTCACACTATGTGGCACCGCCTATACACCAGCATTAGCTTAATGAAACACTCAAAAGCTATTTATTTAGAAATAAGAAGGAGAATATATTATAAATGACATTAAAACCTAAATTGAAACTTAATGAGCTTCCTAGTAATATATCTGCGAAGGAAAATCGTCATTTTATTATGAAAAAAAATACTTAAATGAGAAAACCAAAGTTTTCTTCGAAAATGAGCTAATCATTACCACAAGCACGACTGGTTGAACAATTTCGAATCCATTTGCAAAATTAAAAAGATGATCAGGCGCATTTTTAAAGTTTTTCAACTTCTCCTGAAACATTTTGAGAGCACCGTGTTCAACCCACCTACACAGTTTGCATGGTATCTTTTGTTTTTTTGTTTCTTTTGTTGCGTAGGAGCCGCCGTACGTCATGATGCATCATGAACAAAATTACACTGGCAACGGGCGCTTTTACGGCTTCTGCATGGACGTGCTTGAGTTAGTTTCTAAAGAAGTAGGGTTCGAATACTTGCTTGAACTAGTTCCCGATAAGAAATATGGTGCCCAAGACCCGGAAACGGGCAACTGGAACGGAATGGTCGCCCAACTAATATTGCATGTACGTACATACATTAGGCAGGAAACTAAATCTAATTACTGCCCCGTACCCAGTGGATTTACCCTCATTAATAATTTATACACATAATAATTAATCACGAGAGCAAATGAAATTTAAACGGGAATTATATTTTTGCGTGTCAGAGAGTGAGTGAACAGACTAGAAAGTTATCATCGAGAAATCTACATCAGTCAGGCACTTGATTACAGTTTGATAAGTACTTATTAGAACAGGACCTTGTTAATCATTATTGAATTCCATAATATGTAGCAAATTTCTCCTAATTAAAAAAATAAAGCTTCTGCACAAAGTCCATATTTCTAGCTTCAAGTCGCATGACGAGGGCGGTTCAATAAGTACCTGTGTTAGAAATGAAGACACCTTTTTTTTTTAAATTTGTTTTTTTATTTTTCAAAATAGTCCCCTTTTAGAAAGATACACTTCTCCTAACAACCCTGCAATTTTTTTACCCCCCCAAAAAAATAAGATTTGTCAAACTCTCCAAAATCCCCCCTGTCGCGGCGATGACTTCCTCGTTTGAGGTAAATTTATTTCTCGCTAGTCATTTCTTCATGCTAGGGAACAAGATGAAGTCGCAGGGAGTCAAATCGAGTAAGTACGGGGTGTGCGGCAGCAAATTCATAACGTAATTCATGCATTTTGGCGGCAACAACTCCTGTTGAAAACGCACCTTCTTTTTCGTCAAATGCGTCCGTGTCTCCTTCAATTTTTTGTCGAAACGGTCCAATAACTCACTGTAGTATTGTCCAGTGATCGTTCTTCCTTTTCCTAAAAAATCCGTAAAATGATTTCCTCGGTAACAACGTTTGCCAGGCTTCCTGGTTGCTCCTATCAAAAATGGATCTTTGCCCACGTTTAAATCCGTTGAAGCAATATCTAACCGTGGTCGTAGATAGCGAAATATCTCCATAAACAGTATCCAACTTTGTTTTCATCTCCTCGCATTTTTTCCCATCCAAAAACAAAAAGCGAGTTACCAAACGATACTGATCTTTTTCCATACGTCTCAGTCGAATGGCTGCCAAATCCAAACCAACCTATCAATTAGTCTGAAATTCGTTTTGGCGTGGTTTGATAGATGGCAGCACACGATGACAACACCAATTTCCCTCAGAAACGTCCTCGGTCTTCAAACACGGGTACTTATTGAACCGCCCTCGTATATTAGGGGTCACCCATCCACACGTTAAATGGGGGAGGAGGGCGTCGACTAAGTATGACATTGTATGAGAAAGGGTGGGAGGGGCCCTAAACTTGGTGACGCCACATTTNAATATCAACCAAAATACCTAATAAATTTATTTATGCTGGAATTTTATTTTTACAAATTCGGGTCCAAATTGTAATTTTTATTATTTTCGCTTACGAAACAATGGACTAGTGGGATAAATTGTAAATATCGCTTTAATATTTAGCTAAATCTTCCGAGTTAACTTTGGTAAGTAGTGACTTAAAGTTCAAAAGTTTTTGGAGAACGGATGACAACAACAGTTAATAGAGTTTTGTAATTCACTGTTAAACAAACTGAAGAAGTAAGGTAAGTCGTCATTTTATGTTTTTTGCTCTCTTGTGAATGTAGTAGACAAATTTATGCATTTACGTAAATGTTCACTCAGAAAATTTCACAAATCAAATTATATTACAATTAAATAGTTGTTTCTTAGTGTTAAGAACTTGTTTGAGTAGCTTGTGCGAAGTTAGAAAGCCATTAAAATATTTAATCAATTGTTTACAACCAGTAAATTATTACATCATGTGCGACTTTATCGACTACTTATACTTCACAAATATTTTCGTAATTAGGTAGCGAAAAGGCAGAGGTTTTTATGTCCTTTTTGAAAAAATTTTGCATCCCCTAAATTATCTAACTTAGGTACCTACATAACATGTTTTGGACCTTAATTTATGGGACACCCGGCGCCTCCAACATTTTTTTTCATACGTAAAACCCCAAAACGTTTCAACATTTTCTTTTTCCAATTCTGATAAGGAATAATATTAAGATATGCTTCATATTTTCTTATAGAAACAACAAAACACATTTATCATTTTTCTCAAAAACAATCCAACATATTTTGTCATGGAAATATCCAACTGTAAAACTTTCTTCTCCATATAGTTGTACGATAATATTGTACAAAAATGGTAAGCAGCGTCAAAGTTAGGAGAAAGAACTTGGATCGGCGTTTTGCTCAACAAGTTCAAGTCTGTAAGCCAGGGGTTTCGAGATTATCTAAACTACACGAGGCTTTATCTGACGAGGATCATAACCCTCTACCCTCTAGGATTTATAGAGAAACTTGAAATCCTTCTTTCATGTATATGTATATAAACCATACGAATAAGACGTAGGTACATAAATTCATACATCTACTAATTCAAAATAATATCAATCGTGAAATTGGTTTTCTACCTGGTATAATTGAATTGAAATATGAAAACAATCTCATACTTCTACGAAATATAATAGATAACTGTACATTTTCCCGACTGCTTTACTGTAATAGTTTGCATCAACAAGAATTCAAAAAATATTTTTATTCTCATTAAACTTGAATGAAACATCTACGTACAAACAAAGGAAAAAGGTTTAGTTTTGTTTAGTTTAAAAGTTAGCTTCCATGTTTCAATTAACAAAGCAAAAATTACTCAAACAATGGTACATTCAAAAGAGAATAATTAACAAAAATACCGTTCCTTCCATTAGATAATGGGGCTCCATCAGAATTAACAAAAGTATTAGGGATTAAGAGCAAATGGATTACTGTTTGCTGTAAGGACCAGAACGTTTAATATACAAAGATGTATTAGAAACTTCTAAAAACATCAACCATCATTTCAAATTGCCTATTTTTCCCCTATCAAAATGCAACCCTGTTGCAATTTCGTTTCAATACTTTAAGAAAATATGTTCTAACCTTCTTTCAGAATTTCATCAATCATCTTGCATTCTTTAATAAAATATTTACATCGATTACATACTGAAGACATTGACAAATGATCGATCACGTAGAAATTGTTGTAGAACAAGTGCAACTATGGAATGTAAAACATTGATGAGATGATGAATGAATGAAGTTGCTTTAGAAAGCCAATGACGCAAAACGCTTCTATTTAAAAAAGAAAACTAGAAAATTTGATTTATGTACAACGTTAGATTGTTATTGTTAAATATTATTTATCGACAAGAATTTCTATAAAAATAAATGCATATACATGAAAAATTAATTAAAATCTTCTGTATCGAGTTGTCATTCACTATTTTGAAAACATGCAATAGTTTACTACATGCAACGCTTTAAAATTCAATAGTGATTAATATTAAATATAAATGTGAAAATCCATATCCATATCCAATTTTTATCCATGTAAATTACCACAAATTAAAGAGGAAAAATTGTTGGTATTGTCACACCCTCGCCGGGAATCGAACCCGGGCCCTTTGGCTTTACGTACCACTAAGCTACGAGATATTTTACTGTACAATTGAGTTAATATTCTTTGCTGATCTTTATCTGCCCATACGCCTGTTTAATCGTCCGAATGGTAGGAAAAAACTTCTGATGTCTCATAATTACGAATTTGTCTGAATCTGCTGAGAAAAAGTCCTAATATTCCTAATGAAGTCGTTAAGGAGATAGGTCGTAAAACGTTTTTAAACCCACGCTTGTCTTTGTATGCTAGGAACAGCCGTATGTAATGCTGAAGACTAACGCGGAGAAGACAGGTAACGGCCGCTACGAAGGCTTTTGCATAGACCTCCTCGCCAAAATAGCCGTCATAGTTGGTTTCGATTATCGCATTGAATTGGTGCCTGATGGAAAATACGGAGTCATCGATTTAGAAACGGGCGAATGGAATGGTATCGTCAGGCAACTAATGGAGAAGGTAAGCGGTTTACTCTGAACGCTGTTTTGCTTCCGCGCCGTTCAAAGTTAAGCTTTCTTACTGATAATCCCGGAAACTATCACGTATGATACGGGTTGCGGAAAGGGATTAGTAGTATAAGGCTGCAACGTCCACCACCTATTGTAAGCAATATGAGGAAGACGGAAGTATGATTTCTTAAAACTCCAAAAAATTGTAACCAAAAACATGAACAACATAAGACTATAAAGAGTATGTCCAAATTTTTCTCTAGTGATAATATCATCGTATGGTCATCAGCCCGAGCCCTTATCTGCATTTCCCAGAAACTAAAGCATCCCATATCCTTAACAATTTTCAAATGGTAATATAATCTTACTGTGTCCCCTTTCACTCCTGTTTCTGCTTCTAATATATCTCCAACTTAGCTCTTCATGTCTCAGAAGGTGTCTTAGGTACCCCTCTATTTCTATTCCGAAAGATGTCTTTAATAATATTTATCGTATCTTTGTTATATGCGCAGATTAAAAATAAATACTAATATTTACTAGTATTGCTTTATTATAACGTATTTATTATCCTGAGCTAATCTTTGCATTTCCCTAAAACTAGATAGAACATCCCACATCCTTAACTATTCGCGAACAGTAATCTAATGTAGCTTTACCTCTATTCCTTTCAACTCCTTTTTCTGTCTCTAATACGTCTCTGACTAGATCTTCATACTAGAGAAGGCGAACCTTTTTCGCCTATTTTTTTTTTACTTCCATAGACTACCCTGTTCTCCTATTCTTTCTAATACCTCTTTATTTCTACCCTTATCTATCCACGGTATCCTCATCATTCGCCTGTAACACCACATTTCGAACGCTTCTAACCTCTTCTTTTCCGCCGCGCCCACTGTCTATGTTTCGCACCCGTACGGTATCGCGCTCCAAACATACACCTCTAACAATCTTTTTCGAATTTATAAATTAAACGTTCACGAGCATAGAAGTGACTTCTTTTTATTGAAAGTGGCTCGATCCTGCGCTATCCTCTACTTTATATCCCTACTACTCCTTCCGTCGTAACTTATCTGACTTCCTAGATACCTAAAATCAACCACTTGTTTTAACCTTTCGTCTCCCATCTTAATATTCGCTCTTTCCCTACTTTTTCTTCCCTTGCATACCAGTAGTTTTGTTTTAATTTTATTTATTTTCACACAATACCACTTTGTCAATTCCGCTTCAAAACAACGTATTAATTTTATTAATAGCTAGTGAATTTAGCACCTTTTAAGTAATTGAGTAAGGTCATTTTACCAAAAGGGATTAATGTTCCTTCAGTTCCCACTTTTCTCTAATCAGTGGGTAATGTTTTAGAGAACAATTTCACCCCTATAAATACATATATATTAATTAATTGATCAATCTAAGATGCACGTGTTGAAAGAATTTTCCTCCACCTATGTTTTTTCTTTTCAGAAAGCCGATTTGGCGGTAGGGTCAATGACAATTAATTATGCAAGGGAAAGCGTTATTGATTTCACCAAACCATTCATGAACTTGGGAATCAGTATCTTGTTCAAAGTAAGTTTGGAGAAGAAACATATTTACCTAATTAATTTTCCTTTTCAATTATTTTAACTAAATTAGAAAGTTTTCTTTGTTGCAACATTATTTGCACAGTTTTCATCTTTATAATGTACACACATTTAATAAACCTGAAAAAAATAAATGTTTTTCCAAGAGTTGTTTACCATACATGATGTCGTCTTAAAAATAAAAGAACTTTTATGTTTTCATATGAAAAATTTTTGAATATTACCCTTACTTTTTCGAAATCTTGCTTAATTTTATGCAAATTTGTTGAAGGGATTTATCAAAAATTCAAAATAGATTTTCGTACTATTCCGATTCCGAAATATTAAACAAAACGTTCGTTACAATGTAAAATAACTTCCGATATTCAATAAAAAGCTCTTTTACATGTTCGTAAACAGATTTAAAAACTCTTTGTAATTGCCTGGAACAAATACAAAAGAAGTTAAATAGCAATTGATAAATTAATATCATGTGAAAATTGAGCCTTCAACTAAACAAACTGAAAAGGGACTTAAACGTGGTGGAAATTTTTCAGAGACCAGAATACAAAGCGTCAACGTTTTTCAGCTTCATGAATCCGTTAGGTTTCGATATTTGGATGTTCGTTGTCGGCTCTTTCTTCATGATCTGTTTCACAATCTACGCGCTCGGTAAACTTTCGCCGATTGAGCGATTAAACGTAAAACCCTGGAGAAAATCGGAATTCCTTCGGAACGGATCAGTCTTGTCCAATGCGATTTTCTTTGTGACCGGTACTCTACTCAGACAACCGTCAGGCATTTGCCTTCAGGTAGTACCACTATAGCTGATCAAGTATCAATTAAAAAGCACGTCACATAATAATCAATAGTTGAATAGAAATTCATGTGAATGTACGTCTTACTAAAGCTTACAAAACGAATGCAACTTTTCTTTCTTTACATCTTTCTGCTTTAGATAAAAAACACATTAATTAGAGTGCACAATGTCTACTGTCTGTAGCCTGTATTGAGAACGGCCCTTCACGTACGTCAAGCGGGTGAAGCGGCGAGAACAGCTAGTATTCGATAAATCTATTAAATAAATAAATCGGATGTAAAGAATGTGATGTTAACTTTTAAAACATATTATAGGGAGTAATTTGATTAAGAGATTCCGTACTATTTCATATTGCAACGGGAAAATAAATCATTTATGCTTGTATATATACCTAATTTTACATAAATCGATAAAATCGCTTTGTACAGTTTCGCTTTTAATTGTGTAGATGCTTCCATAACAATAAAAATTCAATATCATTGATAAATCGTTGCATTAAAATGTCCGATTGACTAAACTTAATTTGATCATTTATATAAAAAACAATCAATTCCGCACAATACTAATAAATTACGCATTTCTAAACTAATAATTTATATTTGTACAACCTTGATACGAAAAATAATTTTGGCTATAAAGGGTAGCTGTTTAGCTATACTTGAGTTTGTTTTTGAGGAGGCTATTTACGTTAATTATAAAAAATTACCCTAAAAGAAAAGCTATTTATAATTGAGATTTAAACATTTTCCCAACCTTATTACTTAATTTTAGCAAAAGAAAAGAATTACCTTATTAATTTACTAATTGATCTAATTTCTTTCGCTTTTCGGTGCAATGTTGAAAAGGCGCTACTCTGCTGTTTTTTAATTAATTAAAAACATTAATCAAACCGTTTTCAGGAAATAAACAAACAATATTCACAGCAATGATTTTTAGTTCTCATTCACAGTAATTTATTTAATTGGTCTTTATTATTAGAGAACACGAACTAATTGACAACAAAGCATCACATGTTCCTTAAAGGATTAAACAACGAATAAATGATTCTTGACACTTTACTCCTTCGCGTTACAACTGGTAAAATATGTCACGGTGTCATATTATGGTCATGAAGAGTACATAAAAACCGTTTAGCTCTCTACTCCTAATAGCATTTTCGTTTTTACTTTAAAGGTTCCATCTAGTCAACAGGCCCGACTATTTTCGTTCATGAATCCGCTCGCGATGGACATTTGGCTTTATGTCTTGTCCGCATATCTCCTGGTTTCAGTGACCATGTTCGTGGTTGCCCGATTTTCACCGCACGAATGGCACAATCCGCATCCGTGTCAAACAGACAATGACATAATAGAAAACCAATTCTCCCTACCAAACTCGTTTTGGTTCACTATCGGAACTCTAATGCAGCAAGGATCTGACCTAAATCCGAAGGTACTTGTTTTTCACTAATTTTAGAAAAATAAGCTTTAAATTTCAACTCACTTACTGTGCTCATATGTTCAGTGTGGATGAGGAAGTTATATGTATTATTATTTATTTATAATTATGGAAAATATTCTACAGAAATCATTAAAAATCATCTTGATTATCATCAAGTGTATAATTGAAGTCAGTTTAAGAAGGCGATGTCGATAGTCCTAATATTATAATCCGAATGAGTTTGTTTGTTTGTTACTATTTCACGCCTTAACTACTCAACTGATCGTCATAAAATTTTTGCACACACATTATCAGAGGTGCAGAAAAGGATATAGGGTACCTTTTATCCAGGAAAAAATACCGTTCCTGAGGGATAGAAAAATTAGTTTTATGTGGTCGTCGATGATCTCTGACACGTATTAGAACTATAAAACTATGATCTGAAACAGATTTATTATACTACCTGGTTCCACGATATGCATTCTTACAAAAAAAAAACACTTTTGGGTATTTTATTTTCACTAGCTACTAATACTGGCGGGCACACATCCCTGACAGACTGCGCCAGAGGGTAGGACGAAAAGCTCTCTTCATTCTGCTATTAGGAATTTTGAGAATGAGTGAGTGATTGCAGTTGGGGTGAGAAAGATTTTACAGACGAAATGAAAGTAGAAGAGAGTAAAAGATTATTATCTGTGGAATATTACTATCCCAGCATTTGCCTAAGTGATCTAAGAAATCTTGACCAGAACACACGAACCGATGCTGTAAACCTCTGGGTCATGTAACTCGTTAAATTATTACATTGTCTAACAATAAATGGAAAACGACCGAAACTTTTGCCCTTTTAATTGTCTGTCTGTGTTGATAAGATCTGATAGCAGAGGAAGAGAGTGGGTTACTGTAGGTACCTGTATTAAAAATCGTCTAAAGCAAGGCAGTTGAAAAACATTTTCTCAGTTCAATAGTTTCTGACATCGCCTATCGAAACTGACCCCAATTTACTTCATGTCAAGAATTTAATAGAATAATATAGAAATAATAATAGAAAATTAAATGTATCAGCTTGTATTTAAAATAAAGCAAAAAACAGAACGTGTGTTGAAGTTTGATATTTTTCAGAGTAAATTTTCGCTTCTCGTGTACATAGTATTTTTTACGCTACAAGCTTATTTTTCTAAAGTTAGTGGTAGACGTCCGCTAGAAAATTTTAATAATAGCTGCTGTGCTCATTTTTAACTTTGCATTTTAATTCCATCGTCATGGTAATGAGAAAACAAGACCAAGCCTAAGCACAGCATCTGTTAGTATATAATAAGCTAATTAGAAGTTGCAATCCTTGCTGCGTTTACTCCGAAAAATATCAGCAACTAAAAGTAAAACATTTGTTGTTCCACTCGTATCATTAAAATCCTAGCGCTAATACAATTTTCAAGAAATTGTCCAATTATTTTGTACATTAGTATTTCTTTTAAAAATTGCTGATCAGATCAACAAGCCGATGGTGTTATGTTCTTAATAATTTCATAAAATCGTTACCTAACAAATGTTATTTAAGTATTAAAAAATCATAAAGCAGTGATATTGTTAATTTATGAAAGTACTCATAGCACTATTTCACTGATTGGTAACAAAAATTCTCATCGAATATGATTGATTCCATTCACGGATTTCAAAGCAACAAGGAATAATAGGACTAACGATAATAATGTCAATGTTATCAGCTACTTACAGTTGATTGGGTGCGAATATAAAATTATGTAAACAATCGTTGATTTTTGCCTCGAAATCAGACACAATATATTCAATTTTGCGATAAGCATACACAAAGAACGTAGTGATTTGATAATAAATTGGCCCACCAGAGTAGTTCATAAAATTCATTTGTTGGACTTGCAACTCTCATATTTCTTATCTAATGGGAGATCTATTATCTATACCTATACTAAAAGCACTCTTCCATGCATTTATTATAAACACTACAAAACATAAGTTCAAACTTAACGGACAGGCGCTTCTTTTCCCACATAACATCTTACTTGAACCAAAATAAATGCTTTTTCTTAATTAACTTTTAACCTTTGGGTGTTTCATTCCCACCAGCCAGTAATGCTGGTGGGCGGGCAGTCCCTCCGGACTATGCCGGAAGGTAGGGCGGAAGGCCCTCTTCAGTCTGCTTTCAGGAATAGTGGGAATGGGTGGGTGGTGGTTCGGGTGAGAAAGATGAGACGGACGAAATGAAGACAGAAGAGAATGAAAGATTATCTGTGGAATATTACTGCCTCAGCATTTGCCTAAGTGATCCAAGGAAACCACAGAAAAACTTGGACTAAGGCAGACGGACCCGGAATCGAACCCGCGTCCTCCCGAATGCTAAGCAATGGTCTAGACCTCTAGGCCATGCCGCTCGGTTTTTTCTTAATCCCCAGTGAAGACTTATCGAGGTTTTGAACTAACTATACCTACCACTAAACTGCAAGCGGTAAACTGCTTAATAAATTAAAAAGGTGGACAATTACAGTTACATTCTAGTTTTAGCAGTTTCGATGTTACAATTTTCATTCATTATTCTTTCCAAAATCATAACGCGTTCATTTCAATGTAACCATTGAAAGATCCTCCTCTATAATAACAAAATAACAAAAAAGCTTTTGAGATAGAAACTAGGAAAATAATCTGACCAATTAAAGTTGTTAATAATGTCCTTAATTTTTTTTGAATCGTACAATCGTATTTATGTATGAAATACCTCAACACAAGCAGGCTAGCTTTTCTTCTTCTCATGCTTACGATTGAATCTTTTTTCAACTTATCTTGTTGCACGCTAATGTGATTATCAGATTAATGACTGCTTTTAATTGATAAGTAGTTTAGAACTTATGTAGATAGATATATTGTGTACTTTAATCCTTTCAACTAAAACTACATAATCTAGAATTTAATTAGTACCTATAGAAAGTACCCAGGAAATATCATTAAGTGGTGGTAAATTTTACAACACTAAAAATGTTTTTTACCAAACAAAAAAAGAAAAAAGACCGTTTGGTGTTTTAATTAATTTTCTAAAGTAAAATAAGGAAATTAGCAAAACATAACCTAACTCAACCCAAACCTAATCTAATAATTGTCTCTCTTTTTAGAAGCTTCAAACAAAAGTCACCCAAAAAGGAACTATTTTTTAAAATGCTAAATATTCAGTGTTCCATATTTTACTGGACATTTAGTATTTTATTATATTATACTGACTGACTGAGCTATTCGAAGTTTTAAGATTAAATTTCAACGGAGTGCAACCTTAACTAACTATAATCATTACTAACCATAATCGTAATGTAGCTTTCAACAGTTGTAAGATAAAAATGAAAAAAATATTACTAGTATTATTAAAAAAAGTCATAAGTAGATCATGGCAAATTCAGATTGCCCTGATTTAAAATTGGATCTCAGAATCAAAATGTATTTCGAGGTTTGTCTCTATTCGTCTAACTATTATAACATTTTAAATACTGAATGTTTAGTATTTTTACTATATATTTAGTATTTTCACTACATTTACCGAACCTTCCGTAATTTATTGAGCATTTTAATAGAATTAGAGGTACATGTACTTTGCACTTAATTTATAACGACGACACCTAACGAAGCATCTTCACGTTTGAATTTAAAAATTATTTCTAATAAAAAATATTTAAATCCCCGAGATAATAAATTTGAATTTAGGTCCCTCTTGTAATAAACTTATTATTACGCTACAAACAATAACTTTGTTTACCTGCTTTTCATGCAGTCGTAAATTCACTTATGAGCAACGGCGAGACCGTGTGGTACCACAACAAACCCCCGAGAATGCTTAAATTACGTCAATGTACGAGGGTGGATTGATAAGTTTCCGGCCTGACCAAGAAAAACAAGGTTTTTAAAAATTTTTTTTTTTTATTTCTCAACATAATCTCCTCCAAGGCTGATACATTTCTCATAGCGGTGTTCCAGTCTATTAATGCCATCTCTATAGACTGATTCGTCAAGCTCCTCAAAATAACCATTTACAGCTTCGATTACTTCTTCATTGTCCGCAAATCTCTTACCGCCAAGCCATTTTTTGAGATTAGGGAACAGAAAATAGTCACTCGGGGCTAGGTCTGGAGAGTAAGGAGGGTGCGGCATCAATTCAAACTTTAGATCGTTGATTTTAGCCGTCGCAACGATTGACGTGTGCGCTGGTGCGTTATCGTGATGAAACAAGATTTTTTTCTTCGCCAGATGAGGTCGTTTAATTTTCACCTCGTGGCTCAAACGTTGCAATAAGTCTGCGTAGTATTGACCAGTGATAGTATTACCCTTTGCAAGGTAATCAATGTATATAATACCTCTTGCATCCCAAAAAACAGTAGCCATAACCTTGTTCGCCGAAAAAATTGTTTTTGCCTTCTTTGGAGTTGGTTCCCCTGGTCCAATCCACTGTTTAGACTGTTCTTTGGTTTCAGGAGTGTAGTGGTGGACCCACGTTTCGTCAACGGTTACGAATCGACGCAAAAATTCGCTTGGATTACGCTTATACAATGACAAATTTGCGGTAGAAATGTTTTTTCGAATCAATTTTTGGTCGACTGTTAGCAAACGCGGCACCCATCTTGCACAGAGCTTTTCCATATGCAAATGTTGGTGCAAAATATGTTGCACACGTTCATATGACATCTTACAGGTCTCAGCTATCTCACGCACTTTCAATCTGCGGTCTCCCAGCACTATTTGATGAATTTTTTCGATCATATCTGGAGTTGTGACCTCAACGGGGCGTCCTGAGCGAGGCCCATCAGAGGTGCTCACACGACCCTTTTTAAACTCGGAAACCCACTGCTTAACGGTTGAATATGACGGGGAGGATGTCCCCAGTGTTGAGTCCATCTCTTTTTTAATTTCCTTCGGCGTTAACCCCTTCAAATAAAAGTATTTGATGACAGCACGATTTTCCTGCTTTTCCATTTTTACGAAAACCACAGAGGCGTCTTGTTCAGCGTGCTGTCAAACCTACACTAGCAAGGAGATCGGGCTGAAACTATAGCTACAAGCTATCCAAGGATGGTACTATAGAATGTCACCTCAAGGTAGGCCTAGTGGCGTCATCTCTTGGTTAGGCCGGAAACTTATCAATCCACCCTCGTATTTGTCTCATAAACGATCGCAAAAACGTCCGATGGTACGAGTTCACGATAAATTTGGTTTACAGGCGACATCGACGAGAATTGTCGGCGGAATATGGTGGTTCTTTACCCTCATTATGATATCGTCGTACACCGCCAACTTGGCAGCATTTCTAACAGTAGAACGTATGATCACTCCCATCGAAAATGCCGAAGATTTAGCCAGTCAAACGGAAATTACTTACGGGACTCTAGAAAGTGGATCAACCATGACATTTTTCAGAGTAATCTATTTACTTATTATTTTTAATGTCTTTACTAAAACGATATAAAACGAAATCTCTCATAAATCCAGTAATTAAGTATAAACAACAATAAATNTAATTGAATTTTTTAAAAATTGAAAACAGTCCAGCTAATTTTCACCATTCCGCATCATAGGATTCAATGATTGAAACTTATAAGAAAATGTGGCGATTCATGGAAAATAAAAAGCCATCCGTTTTTGTTCCAACCTACGAAGAAGGTATCAAACGCGTTTTGGAGGGAAATTACGCCTTCCTTATGGAATCTACTATGTTGGACTACATTGTACAGAGGAATTGTAACTTGACACAAATCGGCGGTCTCCTGGATTCAAAAGGCTACGGAATAGCAACTCCAATGGGGAGCCCATGGAGAGATAAAATCTCATTGGCTATACTAGATTTACAGGTGAAATAGTAGTAACAGTAACATTCTTAAGACATTTTGTATCTGCCTTAATTTAGAAACGGGGCAGCAGCTTGCGGTGAGGAAACTATGAAGGAAAAAACCATGAGGTATCAGGTGCCTAAATTCTATTGGCTACCAGTACTGCGCAAGCGTAGTACATTAATTGCTCTGTAGTTCAGCTGCTTGCTAATAGAATCTAAACACCATTGAAAGGCGCTAAATTAACCAGAATGTATACTTCATTTACTTTCTCTAGCGATGTGCCCCTTCCGATACCTTGGATGCGCGCTGGCAAAATCGTAGGTATGGAGAAAAAAGCTCATTATACTCTCGACTTTTGTTCATTAAACATACTTTTTCATACAGTACCTGCCAAAAGTTTTGTTCAATCATGAATAGTAGTGCGAGTCGAAAACAAGCGTTAAAGCCTTTAATATGTCTTCAAATATAAATAAACATCTCGTTGATATTTTCAGTAGTAAATGGTACCAATAACAGAACATTTGAACAATGCAATTGTAGTGGTTAAAATGGTCAATTTTTCCGTGCAGTACTGTACGGATTATATGCTCCTCACCGGTTAAGAGTTCGGCCGAGAGTTGTCTCCTTCCTTTTCTGGCCTAGTGCTGTTTTTTTCTACTTTGCGCCGGTCAAACTGAAGGTCACATCGCTACAGAAAGTAAACGAAGTATGTATTATGTAATACCCACAGTTAGTAAGGACTTCCGACATAACATAAGTGAGTTCAATATGCCTGGAAATAGCGTCCAGTTAGATACTTAAACTAAACAATAACAATAAAAAAGGCACTACAAAGTGAACGTTCAGAAAATGAAAACAAAAGAAGTTATTTCAACTGTTCTTCTTTTTTGTGTTCGATAAAGCACATAGGTAAACAGCAATCATCGAGTTTGCCGCATTATTTCTATTGGTTGGAGACCAATCCAATTTTTGTTATTGCTCGAGTAGCGGAACTACATTGTATGTTTAACGCTGTTAAAAAAAAAGAAAAACAAGAGCTTTTATTAAATTCGCCAACGACCTATTTTCACTTTAAAGGCTTTCCATTCACTCACACGCACATATAAAGAATCGCATAAAACCCAATAAATACGTTAACTACATCACCGCCTCACTAGAATAGAAGCACATTAGGTACCTTTGCATTTTCCTTTAACGACACGAGAGCATTTATTTATTTTCGGGTTCCGAGACGGCGGAGTGCTTCCGTCTTCCGTCGTTATGTCTTAAAAAAAAAGATCCCTCTTTTTTGATATAGGAAAAAGGAGAGATACAGATGCTTTATGACAAGTGGTGGAAAAACACTGGGGAGACCTGCTCCCGAGACGACAAGGGAAAAGAGTCTAAAGCTAATTCGCTGGGAGTCGATAACATCGGCGGAGTTTTTGTCGTTCTGCTGTGCGGACTCGCCTTCGCTGTTATCGTTGCCATCTGCGAATTTTGTTACAATTCTAGGAAAGGAAACGGATACAGCAAGGTACAAATGTGCATCCAAAATACAAATGTACAGTTAGAACTTGGTTATAGCGTCGCGTCGCTGTCAATATCTTAACATAATGAGAGATTCCCTAGTAGTAGTACGAATTTATAAAACACAAATTGAACAATTTCCAAAACAAATGTAGAAAAGTTTTCCGGGTTTAAAAGCCGTTATTTGTTAGAATTTATTTAAAAAACCAACCAATTCCCCTTATTTCGGCACTGTCTATATGCACAAACCTAAATTAAAAAATTAAAAATATTTAACCGAAATAATCAGATTGCATTCATTTCAAATTTAAATGACAACAAAATCGCGTAATACAATACACACCATAACCATTATCATCACTGATCGTCAGTCCTAAAACTGATTGGACCTCTACTTTTTTCCCTCCTGAATTAATCTTCGCATTTCCCTAAAACTAGGTAGAACATTCCACATCGTCAACTGTTTATGAACAGTAATCTAATCTAGGTCTACTCCTACCCCTCTTAACTTCTGTTTCTGTCTCTAACATGTCTCTGACTAGCCTTTTATGTCTGAGAAGGTGTCCTACCAACCTATCTAATTCTAATACCTCTTCATTTGTAACCTTCTCTGTCCACGGTATCCTCATTATTCTCTTGTAACACCACATTTCGAACGCTTTTCGACTACGTCCACCGTCCACGTCTCGCACCCGTAAAGAGCTATACAGTCTTTCGAATTTCTAAATTAACCGTTCGCGAGCATAAAAGTGATTTTTTTTTGTTCAAGGCGATTCTACCCTCCGCTTCCCTCTGTTTTATATCTCTACTGCTCCTTCCATCCTGAGTTCCTAGATACTGAAAATCAGCCACTTCTTCTAATTTTTCGTCTCCTATCTTTATATTCGTTCTTTCCTTACATTTTCTTCCCTTGCGTACCAGTATTTTTGTTTTACGTTTATTTATTTTCATACAATACTATTTTGCCAATATCGCTATCATTTTATTAAATTCTATAATATAGTCATCATCATCATCATCATCATCATAAGGTCATCAGTCCTAAGAGTGCGACTTTTTGGACACGTACCTCCACTCTTTCCTATCCTGAGCTAAACTTCGCATTTCCCTAAAACTAGAACAGATCCACATCCTTAACTATTTGCGAAGAGTAATCTAATCTAGGCCTACCTCTACCCCTCCTAACTCCTGTTTCTGCCTCTAATATGTCTCTGACTAGACCTTCATGTCTCAGAAGGTGTCCTACCAACCTATCTCGCCTATTTTTTATTGACTTCCATAGAGTCCTCTGTTCTCCTATTCTTTCCAATACCTCTTCATTTCTAACCTTTTCTACTCACGATATCCTCATCATCCGCCTATAACACCACATTTCGAACGCTTCCAACCTTTTCTTTTCCGCCGCTCCCACTGTCCATGTTTCGCACCCGTACAACGCCGTGCTCCAAACACACACCTTTAACAATCTTTTTCGGTTCGCGAGCATAGAAGTCACGCAAAAAAAATTATTTAGAGAACTATTCAAACTGACCTTACATAAGACTTAGATATCGTTATAACCAATGTTGTTGACCAAGTTTCACTGTACTATTGCAATAAGTAATATATTAAGAGTGCATCTTTTTTTGTTTTATGTTTTATTCCTCGCTTTAAACTGTACTTTCAAAAATGTTCGGTTTGTTCCTTACTTTGATTTCATGTCCAAAGAGAAATATGGCCCTTCTACCGCAACAGTCGCTGTGTACGGAGATGGCCAGCGAATTGTGTTTCGCGATGCGATGCAGGGCTTCGCGCCAAAGACCGGCGCTCCGAAGGCAGTGTTCCAAGTGCCTGGCGAAGATCGCTAACCACGACGCCACCGGCGTCGGCGACGGTGCCGGTGGAGGCGTCGCGACCAACCCGATTCTACCGCCGCCATCAGCACCCCGGTCGTCCGCCAAGGTCCCGGCGCCAGCAACATCGCTCGTCTTGCTACCGCACCAATTCAACTTTTCGCCAATTTTAGTAAGAGAACCCTTATATATATACATACTATGTATACTACGTAATTTATCGAAAACGATAACAGCCAAAATCCTTTTCCGTCGAATCTCTCTGTGTGTGTGTCTCTCTCTATCTCTGTCTCTCCTCTGGCAACTATTAATTCCGCGACCTAATAACGGAAATGCTTTTTATTTCTCGCGCCGCCAACTGTATCTCCAATTGGTCGATTTATGTCGACGAGCACGTGTTGATAGATACGTTTTGTTCTCGTAAATTTGGCAAAATCGTTGGTCGTCTGCCAAATTTACAAGAGAAACGTGATTACGTAAAATTGGCAATTCATCCTCCTTCACACTACCCCTTGACATCAATGGAAACATCAACCACCCAATACCCATTTGCAATGATCAATGAATAAATTGAAAAACAAAACTTTCGTATAATTTCATGTAACGCATTTTTCAGATGAACTTAACGTAAAAACGACATTATTAGAAATATGGATAAAGATACAGCTGATATTAAAATTAAAAGATACCTAAAAAGGATCAAAGGGCTGGTTAACAAGGAAGAAAATTAAAATGACTTTTGTATTTCCTTTTTTTATTCATTAAAACTTGGATATATATTTTACCCAAGAAAAGTAAACTTATGCTTGAAAAATCACCCTTCAAGAACAACAAAAGGAAAATTTCTCTAGAGCAAACATTTAAAGTAGTTTTGGCTTTAGAGGGATAAAATATTTTTGCGCTTTCTGAAAATCGTATTTTTAATGTATGTAAGATACTTCCAAAACAAGAAAAGCACATTAAAGTTGAAAATAAAAGCTCAATATTTATTTATTTCTCGAAATATACGATGTCAAACGACAGTATTCTTTCTAAATTGACTTTTGGCGCGATTGCTGTAATTAATATTCCATTTTCTCTTCCAAAACAATTTAAAATTGACAACCAAAATCCATAAGCGCCGAAAAATTGATAAAAAATTGTAACTTTTCCGATTATTCCCCTAACAGTTAACAGTTTAGTGAACTAAAATTTATATATCGTCCTGCAAATTACTAAACATAAATATTCGTATCTGATCAATTCGCCCCTCTATATAACCAGGCATTTTTATACTATTTCAGTAGTTTTCTACTTTTTGCAGGGCAATGAAAACCGTCAATGCTTCGAAGACCTGAAGGAAAGGCTTCAAAAACCGGAAACAATAAAAGTGAATAGTTCTACAAATACGGTTGAACCTCCACCAAAGACCAAACGGGAAACACTAGTCAATTAGAGACTGACGCATCGTATTAGTTGTTTTAATTATTAAAAGCCTTACCTCTTAAAAATCATTATAGGATAAGACGTAAAACTTTTAGCTGATTTTCAATAAAATCGAACAGTATTGACCATTTAGATGAATAAGAAATACAGTAGAACAACGATGAGTAAAGTAATAAAATATTTCTAGATTGACATTTTACTATAATACAGTAGAATTCGTTTATTACGATTCCGTCTATATTGACCAACCGCTTAATATGAAGCAATTGCAGTGTTAAGTTTGGTTTTCATATTAAATTCTCTATAGGAAAGTTTGGATATAATGACTCCGTTTAAATTGACATATCGTTTATTATGACTGATTCTCAAGAAATCATATCCGGCTATAGTAACCCAAATGATTAATAATAACATTGTCGCTCATTTTTCTGACCCTTCTTATGTATATTGATATTACAATTCATCGTTCTTTTTCTTTTTCTATTAATAAATATACACAATTTGGAGTTTTTCTCTCTATTAAACTAAATAACTAAGCAAAAGTGAGTTGTTTATTTTTTAAGACTATGCATTGTGTGACTCCCGCTTAGTATGACGTGTTTGTCATTTCCTTTCAATATCATTATAAGCGGATTCTACTGTACGTATATAAGTAAAATAAATGCAGCTAAATGTACTGTAACTTATTAAGGTTTTGTTTTTTGGTATTTATTAGAGGCATCCACGAGTTAGCTCATCGAAATTCTACGGCAGTTCTTAATTATTAGATCTTTTAACAATTTTAACCACAATAGATGAAAAGTATGTAGTTGAGTTTTTTAGCAACGAACTATTGACTAGCTTTTGTTTTCAAAAATAATTTACTATTATCAATGAATGCACCATGACCTTTTCTAGTATTATTCGATATTATATATATATAACTATCGTCAATTATAATATATATAGCCTTACGTATCAACAGTTGAATCTCGTTCTGCTTTACTTACTGTTGATTTTAAAAGTATTTCAAAGCCTTTTACGGATAAATAATTTTAAAATGAACACAAAATTTTATATTCGTCGTAAAATTAACAGACGATAATCAAAACGCTTTTTTCATCTTACGTATTTTCTAGTACGTGCTCATGTTGGTTCAGAAAGAAACAGAACATAGGCACCAGCACATTTTAAACATCATATAAAATTATTTATCAACTCAGTAGGATATTGCTGGTTGAGAAAGGATAAGTGTTACATCTATATTTTTACAAAAACTGAAACAGGAACGCGCTAAATTCGTACCTACAGAAACTGGCCCTATGTTAAACTGCTTGAAACTTTGGATTCTGGTAGTTCTCAATCTGCAGGTCAAAAGTTTCAACGGGTGCTAAATCATAAAAACTCGTCTTTTTGAGATATGGTCCTTTAGAGTTGTATAATTGTACCTTGCGAGTCCTTAAGGAAGAATGCAACTTTTAGGGACACATATGTGAAAAACGACTTAGCACCCGGTAAGACATTTGATCTACACCTCGACAACTAACAGAATCCAAATATTCAAAAAGTTTGGCATATGGGTTATTTTCTGTAAAGAAATAGCATAGTCCTTTGTACTTATGTATGTTGCTTTTGAAAAAGGATAAAATCCAATAATGGTTCTCGTTTCTCTCCTTCGGTAAAATTTCTGAATTTAGAGTTCATAATTATTGTTAAGTAACTCCAAAAAGACAAACATAAATCAGATCAATAACCTTGAGTTATTGTCACAAATTCGATAGTTGACCTGTACCCCATTCTTTATAAACTACCCCGTTTATAATAAACACCTCCATACGATAATTTTGATTTATCTTCCAAGTTAATCACAAATAAAAACTCCTTAATTATTAAACAGTAAACTAAAATCTAAACCTCTTAAGATTGATAGAAATGTGTACTAAACTCCTCCTATAAAATGTGTAGAGAATAATAAAAGTAATACAAAAGAAGTGTAACAAAAAAATTATATTCAAGTACAAAAATTATTTATTTATCATTTGTTAATAGCGTATTTGGTAAATAATTAATTTATTAGTGAAATATTGTCAATACCGTTTAATTTTGTCTAAACCTATTGAATTTATGTTTATATCTACCTAATTTTAAACAGTAAACTTATTTTTATGAAAGCTGATCATTATTTATAATTCCCTCAATTAAAAAGCTCAAAATTAAAATGTGTTCTCAATTTCTTTCCATTATTGCAAATTATAATTTTTAATTTAAAGGCGAGAAAACATTTATTATTACCCTCAAAAAAAGTAAATTGACCTTTGTAAAAATTAATTAAAAATATAAAAAAAGCTCATTAATTCTTTATGACAACTATATTTTTGACAATGAATACAATTATTTTTTGATTAAAAAATGACCCAGTGTTTCCCCTGTTCAACTTTGAAAAACTATGATAAATTAATCACATATATAGTAAGTTGTTTATTAGTAATTACATCTATAAAATCATAATAAAGTTTTTACTCCAAAGGTAAAAGTCCCAGACTCAATTAATACTTTGATGTAAATCTGTTATGTTGCTATACCTATAATAAACAATTCAAGAACGTGTTACGTACCAACAGATTTTATGAAGTGATTAAATGAAATAGAAAGTATGTTGACCAACATTGAACTTGTCTTCACAAACATGCATCACATACTCATTATTTTACCTTTATATGTTCATAAAAGTATCACTGTGAGTATTTACACCAAACCTGTAGGTTGATATTTTGCATTAATCGCTTGTCGTCGACCTGGATTTGATTCGGGTCGAAAAACGAATTGTTCTCGTTGTAGACAAGTTGTTTGTTGAAGAGGTAACTGACTGGAGAACATGAGATCGATCATTTATCGACACAAGTTAATAATAAAAAGATAAACTGAACCTGTGCGACAACCTAATTGTTTCTATTTTAAAGTGCTTCTTCGTACCTAATGGTTAAACGTAAGTAAAAAGTGAGTATATTTGAACACAAAGTAGAGAATATTTAGTAAAGAAGTATATTTATTTACTAAATTTGTTATCATCAATATACTTCTACATATCATGTTGATTTTGTGCTTGAAAAAAAAAATGTTAAGGATGTTTGGAAGACAAGAGTACATAAAATTAGAAATTCGTGATTAATTAGGTTTTGCAGCATATCATAAGGTCAATAAATACTATCTATACTAAAAAACAGTATACGGTTTGAGAGAAAATTTGGAATTTAACCAAAAACTTTGAATAAAATAAGAAATAACGAATAATATGGAAAATTTTTAACTGACTTTTGGCAGTGAATATGCCTTGATTTCAACTTCGAAACAAAAAAATATTTAGTTTCAATCTCTATTAATAATGAGCGTAAAACTTTTTAATATGTTTAAATAA